TCATTTGTGCAATAACTCAGTCATAGTTTGAAACGTCCAATTTCAACGCATCCCAAAGCAATGTTCTGTTCCAGCCGCTTCATTTTTGATAAATGCAAGAATACTGCAACCATCAGGCAACAACAACAACAACAACACATACCAGATGTATGTCGTGCAAAATGCAACCAGTTCTACAAAAACAAATATCATTAGTGATATAAATGGTTAATAGATTCACTACTGTTAATATTTTATCCAATTAAGATATACATCAATTAGTAATCAGTGAAGTAGAAGACAAACGACACGCATGTCAGATAATGGGCTGTATGCTAGCTGTAGTACCGGTCTGCGCCACCAGGTGGAGCATCTGTTTATTTGGATGGAAGATTGCTGCTTGTTAGCTGCGTTTAACACTTTAGCAACCAGAGGAGAAGATCAGACTGCAGGGCAGTTCCATGTTAGCAAACAGATGGTAGTGTGGGGGTTTAGCTCGCAACGGGGCGCCATGACAAAGACTTCTGTGGCAGTAAACACCTCCTGGCTCAACGAGATGGAGTCGACTAGGACAGCGCTTCTGTAGCTGAGTGGCTAGTGTAACGAGGGATGTCTATGATTAATTATTAAACATCATTAGCTGTAATACCTGGTTGCACCACCAGGGGAGCCCTCTTACTGTTTAACACTGTAGCAGGTGGAGAAGGCGTCACTTGGACTTTTGTCAGCTCCATGTTGGCTAGCAGAGAGCATTGTGGGAGGTCAGCTAGTGAAGTGCCACCATGAGAAAGTCTCCTGTGATGCTAAATGACTCCTGATCATGTTCTCAGAGAGTAAAGGAGCAAAAATTCAACGTCACCTCAAGCCAGCTGTTCACTGACTGTGCCACATGAGCAGGACTGACAATAACGTCTACTGGAATCATCTGAGGCTATTGATTAAGTGAAACTGATTGATGACCAGATGACCTTTAAATTTTACATCCACACTTGTAACCAAGCTGCTGCTTCAGTAGATGTCATCTGTGAGCGGTTAAAGTTTGCTCCACCGGCTCCTGGTGTAATGTCCGCTCTACTTTAGCGGTGGTGACAATTAATCAATAATTGATTGATGATGCTGCTGCGGGCTATCGGTTAAGAAACCTGTTTAAAATGTGTGAGCTTATTCAGAACATATTTTCCTGACTGACCCACTAATCTCACTTCAACACTGTCAACAATCTAGAAGATGCCTGTTGTTTGGTCTCCTGACATAACACCTGATGTTTTGTTGACCCGCTGAACCCTCCAGCGCTCCTACATCCGTCCACCAGCACCACAACAAAGACCTCATTCACAACATGCGTGTTTCCTAAATGTCGTGTCATCTTTGTTGATGAGCTTTGAAAGTTCACAAAAAGAATTCCACCCGTGTAGCGCCGTACAACGAGCTCCCCACTCTGGAAGCCCTCGCCCTCGTATTTAAAGAGCTTAAAGCTGATGAATAGTAAAGGCAGGAGCAGTGCAGCGTGGTGAGCAGAGCCCCAGCCTGTGGAAACAGGCCTCAGTGTGGATGACAGGCCTAACGAGCTAAATATAGCCTTCTGGGTTATCTCCTCTGTGGGCGCAGCCAGTCCGTTGTTGCTTCACATTATTTACGTGTCTGTGCGTGCACCCTCTCCCTCTATCTCTCCTTCTTTCATTTCACGCCCCCCCACACAAACACATCACTATCTCTTTCTCCTGCACTCTGTGCTGCAGACTCTCCTCCTCTCTCTCCATTTCAGCCCTTCACGGCATCTTTCTTTTCTTTTTTCCACCCTCCTCTCTGCTATTCTGTCCCCAGGTATCTCTCTTTCTCATTTCTTCTCTCTCATCCCTTTTCACTCCCTCCTTTCCTTACATCTCTCTTGTCTCCATCACTCTCTCTCTCTCCTCTTTTATTCTCTTTATCTCTGCCTCCCTTTGTATCCTTCCTTCCCTCCCTCAGCAGCTCTCTGTTTTTTCTGACACTCTCTGAGCCTTTTTTCTCTCAAGCTATCTTTCCCTTTGAGCCTCTCTTTCACTCTCCTCTCTCTCTCTCATTTTCTCTCCTTCTTTCCCTCCCTCTCATTTTCTGAGCCATGCCTATGAAGTAGCACAACACTGTGTTATCCATCCACTACACCACAGCGAGCCCTTGTTCAAATAGCACAGCCCGGGGTGCTAACCGTCTGCCATGCTAACCTATATGGATGTGTCATCAGCATCTGCACATAGGGAACCGCTACAGCCTCGTGTTGGACCTGAACATACAGCAGATAATTCTCTGCGTTATCTCTCCGCCGGTCCTTTGCTCACCGATGCTGCGCTGGTCACAAAGGTTGTGACATTTAATATGCACAAAGTTCGATTAAATGTCACCCATTGCCCCCGTGCATGGAAACACACCGAAACGCATGCAGGCTGGCACGCCACCGGTCCTGTTGTATCAGGCCGGGTGGAGAGGATCTGCAGGAAGCTGGATGTTTGTCTGGACTGTTTGCTCCACGCGGTAATTCTGTGAAGCCACAGCTGAAACGGGGAGAGACTGAGATTATGGACGTAGATGTTTCTGAAAATCAGTGTTGTTGGAGATTCTGTGTGTTCTATGATGCAGCAGATTTATTTTATCACTTTTTAATTAAATCAGGGACGTTTGACAACCTCTCATCTCCAACGGATAGAAGTTTGAGTGGCTCCTCGACAACCAGTTTAGGTTGTGCATTTGTATGTATTTGTTATTGTGCAGCATGGCACTAATTTAAAGCTGTATCGTGTTTATGCAACTGCCAGAAATAACTTCAAAATGTAATGAAAAGGTCCCCATAGCGTGCCGCGTGCGTGACAAATCACGGAAAAAACAAGGAAGCGAATGAAGGAATTCTGCTGTAACTCAACTGTAAGTCTGAATAACTGAATAGCTAATAACTGCACGATGAGCTAACGTGAGTTTTGTGGACGAGCAGCCGCTTTGATCACAAGTTACGGTTGGAGGACAGCGACACTCTGGATTTATTCTCCAGCTGCTTTAAAGACGTCTTTATAAGGTGACGTGACTGAGAGCAGCCGCAAAAGGACGACAAGAATAAACAACAAACACGTCTCCCGGTGAAACGCTGCACTGCTGGAAAAAAAACAAACTAAAATATCTGAGAGAGGAATTTTACAATCAGGAAGCTGACTCACCATCAGCTGCTGGTCGTAGCAGACCGAGTGAGGCTGAAGCATCAGAACAGCAAAAGAGTTTATGGAGCACCTCAGACTGAGACGCTATCAGGGAGAGACTTGCTGCCTCATAAAGAATCCTCAACTGAAATCTATGGGAGATGGAAACATGCAGCGACCTGATCGTGTTGCTCTGATCTGCAGAGCAGTGCTATCAAACTGTCTGGATGCGTACAACTTGTGGAGAAAAACGCTTTTTTTAACCTTATTTTGGGGCAAAGTACCAACATTTGGTTGGGACTTCCAGCACAGACCTAAAATGATTTGAATCCTACTCAGTTTTGTGTCTATCGGTAACTACAGACCTGAAGTGACAAAAACAACCCGTGGAGTCCCCCAAGGCTCTATTGTGGGGCCTCTTCTGTTCAATATCTACATCCTCTCACGAGCTCAAATCATGGAAAACAACAAACATGTCACCGTACCTATGCAGACGACACACACGTTTATATAAGGACTATAACTCCACACAAGCCCTCAAAAGTCGCATTGAACAGAACATTTTTTTCTATTAAACAAACTGAGGAAGCTCTAAATAAATCCTCAGGAGTGTTACCAAGATGACAAGACTTGCCTGAAAGGAATTTGTTTTTTTAAAATTCTCTTTCTGGTTGTTGGATAAATTCTTAAAAACTCATCTGTCTTTTCAAAGTTACATATTTACTATATTTTATGTAAAAAATCCCTTTAAGCCTTAAAATGGCTTCGATGCAGCTCCTCCAGCTCGCCTACAACACAATGCTAACATGTAACATAGCAGTAATTAATCCATACATGTTAGGACTGAGAACGGATTCTGCAGAAGAGGAGTTAGCCCCACCCTGCAAGTTAACGGGTCGCTTTGGACTCGACACCCTGGACGACTGAATCAGTGTTTGTGAGCCCGTCAGCGCTACGCTGCAGCTTCTAGGTGGAAACGCTCAGCCTGGTGTCGACTCCTGATTTCACTCCTGATGTGCCTTCCAGCATATATAAAAAAAAAGCACCATATGGAGATGTTAACAAGGTAAAAAAAATGGATTTCGACTGGAGGGGGTCTTAAAAATAACTACGAGTGCCAGACAGTGTTAGCATTATGTCATCAGGGGGAAAAACAAAACATTCTAACAAAAATAAAATAAAAGAAGAAATGTTTTATTTCTGATTTAGAGGGAAATGGATGTGACATTTTCACACATGTTGGTACTGATTACACGGTTCTGGTCCTCATAAGGACAGAAGAACGACGATGTGTACGTGCAGGCGGATGAATGAGAACGTCTCCCGAGTGTTGGTGTGTTTTTATCTGCTGATCTCCTGCCTGTCTGTGTGCTTCTACATCCATTTGTCTGTCTGCCAGTTTGCCTGTCTGCTTGCTTTCTCTCTCTATTTGTCAGTCTATCTGTCTGTCTGGGTCTCTCCCTCTTTATGTCTATCCATCTGTGTGTCTATCTAGCTTACGGCCCTGATCCTGCCTGCTCTCCCAGGTTTATGAAATGCGAGCAGCTTAGCAGATGGTGCATATCGTATTCTGGTCGGCTCTGTGTGGGTTTTGTACCGCAGACGAAGGCTTACGATACATGTGAGCCTTTAGTCGCGCAGACACACCGACACGGGGAAGCTCAGGCTGTTAGCGCAGCAGAGAAAACGCAGCAGAGGAAGAAGAAGACGATGGAGCAGCGTCGACGGTTTGAAGAAAACACGGTGAGGGGTATGGAAATAAGAAAAGGTGTGCTTCTGAGAGATCAAGGTAAAACAGAGTCGAGCTGGTTTCTACCACTTCATTGTGGGAATTTGCAACTTTCTTCTGCTTTTATTGATTTTTAAAACGCATGTAAGTAGAGTAAATAGTCACCAGGGATTCAGTGCGTCTATTAATCTAAATGAAGTGAGAAACTAATATGACACAGTGAAGTAAAGAAAAAGAAGGGATCCTGAGCAGCAGAGGAACAAAAGGCAAACAGGAAGACAAACAGAGCTTCCATGAACACCAGCCATCAATCCGGCTGATGAAAAAGCGCACAGACAACTCCCCAGACTGTAAGTCCTGCATAAGAACCCATCAGACTCTTGTCAGAGTTTCTGAGCGGCCGGAATAACAAATCGCCGTGTAGCTGTGCTGAAGGTGTGATTGGACTCACCATGATGTAGTGCCTCTGCATCTCCGTCTTCTCGCTGGCCAGCTTCTCACACTCCAGCTTCAGGCTGCACAAGGACGGAAAAGGACACACACACGTGGATTAAATGGCGTATTTGCATCCAGTCAAATGAATTATAATTTCCACGGCACTCGGATATTGCAGGGACTCGGATATTGCAGGGGTCAAACACAGTTTAGGGACCCATCAGGATATGTGAGAATGACTTGTAGCTGTACGGCGGGGCGATATATTACTGCTGGAGTGACACTGAAGGAAAAAGCCTTTATGGTGGCAGCAGCCAGCAGAGTCAGTCTGATTCTACCGCAAGTCATCACATGTTCTGCACATGTGTGACTCCGCATGTATGTGACGTGTCATCTGCTGAGTTCTACTGGCGATGGGTCCAGACAGACGACACGCTCTCTGTTTACGTCGAGCCTTTTCATTGCATTCTGATCCATTCCTGCATTCGCTTGCTGCCAAATTCACCTCAAAATGTGTTTCAGATTCTCTGCCTAAGTCAATAATGGATTAAATAAAGCAAAAACTTTGCAAATGGGAGCCTCTCAACATCCGCCCGTTGTTCAAAAAAGGCTTCATGGCAGGTGCGCTGTTAACATGCAGCTGCTCGAGATGATTTCAGCCGTCGAGTTCAGGTGAGAACCAGGTTCTGAGTTTAACAGCCAACATTCAAAAAACCTGAATCAGAATCAGCTGTTGTCGGCCCAGAACACAAACCAGGACCGTTTGTCTTTGCTCTCAATGTATTTACAAAAAACACAACATGCGTTTAAACCAGAGCAACAGGTTAAAGGAAGGAAACGTGTTTCAGCTCCGAGCACTGCTGCAGATATCTGATCATCTATCTATATCTGTCACTAAATCTATCTGTAGCTAAACCAGACGGTTAGCGCAGGAACTAATACAACTACTAACCATACAGACGGAGTTATGGAGGCTTTCTATGCATGAGGCGGGTGGTCGACAGAGCGATGGAGCAAAGTGAGGTGTAGCTATAACAGAACATTATCAGGATTAAAGTAGGAGGTTTATTATAATGAACGATGCAGCGTCATGCTCGTTGTTTCTGGATAAATGTGTGCATCAGGGAGACGCACCGGTCCAGACCGTGAGGTTAAGCAGCGCCGCTGTATCGCAGCAGGCTGTCCGACGAGTCCACTGAGCTGTGAGCAGGAGGCTGCTGCATGTTTGAGTCCAGGACTGTTTATCTCTGAGCCAAGGTCACTTCTGGTCAGTCACATGATATCATGAACATCAGTGACCTCCAGCTGCACAAAGCTAAAGACCTGAACCAGCTCACGGGTCAGTCCTCCCTAAATCTCTCTGCTCAGCCTCCTCTCACTGTCCTGATCAATACCTTCTGATGGACACAGATTATTTTGAATTTCCTGATGGTGTTGATTTAAAACACATTTTGGTTTGTGACATAAACTACACATCACCAGTCGACTTCTAAATTATCAGGTTTTTTACTAACGTGTGCTCAAAGGCGAGATTTTTCATGACGGCATCAATTTATTATTATTTTTTCCTATTTTGAGCCACCCATAACCAGACTATTTGATCCACTAGTCCAGATTTTGCAGATTCTGAATCGATGACATGATGAGAAACACCAGCGAAGGTTTCAGGCTTTTATCTGTAAGCGTTCCTGAGATGTTGTCGTTACGTTTCTGCACTGAAAGTGGGTCAACGAAGCCACATGTGATGAAGCGATCTAAAATTTCACAGATTCTATTTTTAAAATCCATATTTGTTTATAAATATTTTTTTTAAAGTTTTAAGCCAATCAGAGGCGGCCGAGCAGAAGAACTCTGATGATTTAAAAATGAAAAACCCAAATACTTAATTGGATATTTTAGACACCGTAATACAATCTCAGCTACCACAAACTCATCACGCTGTTAAATAATGAGATGACAAGAGCCAAGTAATAGAAATAACTGGAATTAAAATGCAGCATTTCAACATTAAATGAGATATTGGTGATATTTTATGAAAGTCAAGGCTGATGGAGGCTGAAGCCATGATCCCTCATCGACTCCCGTGATGACTGTAAATGTGTAGCTGGAACAAAAGGAGGCGAAATGTGATGTAAAGACTGAATTCCATGTGAGAGGCTGCAGCTCATTATGGGTTTACAACCATATTTTATATGAAAGGTGAAAGGATGCCACTCGTATTATCTCTGTTTGGTGGCGTATTGAAGCCTTCAGCTTCCTCTGAGCTGCAGAACAACATGTTGTCTGATAATAGAGTGAAAGAGGAGCGTCGGGGCGACTTCTTCTTCACCGAGGAACAAAAACTAGTTAACCGCTGACATCTATGAAGCACATTTACATTTACAACCTCTACTGTACTCATTCACTCCACCTGTACGTTTATCCGTCGTATTGTGAGAACGTTCTGAGCTCAAGTGGATCCAGAACACAACGGGCCTGACACTGATCTGATCTCAGCAAATCCTGCATTTGCACTTTTTATATTCAGTTTTTTGTCTTTATTTCTTTCTAATGTTTCGTTTGTCTTAAACTCTTTAACGTTTTACGCCTCGTCGTCGTTGTTGTCAGACCTCAACACATCGACACCGAAGCTGCTGCGACTCCATCAGCGTTCACACGGATGCAGAGAGAAAAGGAACTAAAATTAAAGATAATTGTCTCAGTTTAGAGGATTAATTAGCATATACCTCATGCCGAGTCGCGCTGGAACTCAAACTGCTGCTGTATTGACATTAACAGCGTTATGTGGATTATTTCTGGAGCGTTTATCCGACTCAGGGGCTGAGAGTTGGCCGACAAGTTTGGGTTTGAAAAGAACCAAAAAAAGACGAGCGAGGAGACGCAAGGTCCTGGATGTTGTTTAACTCAGAGTAGAATAGAATAGAATAGAATAGAATAGAATAGAATAGAATAGAATAGAATAGAACAGAAATGCTTTATTGATGTCTGAGGGGAAATTCTGTCGTTACAGTAGCGAGCAGAAAATGTAAATAGACCACCACAATACGAATAAATTAGAGACATGTACTAAAGTGTCAAATGCACACTACAGTAATAATAGACAGTGAAATGTCGTGCCAACATTTATGGTTTTGTTTTCTTAATAAAAGTCACAAAACATTTGTAAACTCGTCTGTGTGTGAGCATGCATACGGCCTGTACGTGTTGTGTGTCTGTACTGTACCTGTGATACTGAGCCTGGAGGAACTGGAATTCCTCCTTGATGCGGTCCAGAGTTTCCAGGACTGTGAACTTGAAAGACTGGCCAGGCTGCAATGGGACCTGCACAGGAACAAGGAGAGAGGAAGAAGGGATGAGAAGACGGATATGGACGCGTGCACGTGGCCGTTGGAGAGAAGACTGCACGCACTGTTCCTCTGCTGCATGTGTGTGTCGGCGAGGAGAGAAGAAAAAAAGAGCCAAGATGAAAGTGAGAGGGAAGGTCACTTCCCCTTCCCACACATCATAAAGCCTCGTCCTCTCCCTCTCTGTTCTCCACCTCCTCTAATGACTCTGCCTCCTTCCCTCCGCTGCCCCCATCCTTTTCTTCCTCTCCTCCGCCTCTCCCTCGCTTCCACATTAGCATCCTCTCCACTCTGCCAGGTTGCTAATGTATTCCAGCCTACAAAGAGCTGAGAAGGGAGGAAACATCAAATGAATAACTTATAGGGAATCACTGCACCGTCTCTCACCTGCTAAAAGCTAAAGAAGGCCCAACAAAACAAGCACCTCCCAGGGGTCCAGCACCACCAGCAGCCCTCCATGTCTGTCTAAAGCGCTTTCGACAGCAGCCCTCCTCCTCCATCGTCTTCATGAAGTTTGAGAAACAAGGGCAGCGCTGATGTTTTTGATGCTGTAGTTCTTCTGTTTGGAGATGGTCTGGAGTAAACAGGCGCTTTTTTTCTTGACAGTGTCAATTCTCAGAGGAGTTTTTAATATAAGAAGTTGCCGTTTTTTTCCCACATTCGTCTCCTTTTTTCCCTCCCAACTCGGATTGGCTTATTCTGCCTTTAACAGCGGACTCCCACTGTCAGCCCGGGAGGATGCAGCCTGCCAGGTGTCTCTGCCACTTCTTTTTCAGTCACTTCTTATCACCTGTCAGCGAGCAGCCTCAGCAGGACCACTGAGGTTCACACCAGCCCTCCTCAGATCCCACCTCCCTCTGCACCAGCGCGCTGATGCTGCAGCGTTAGCACAGACGGCTTCCACCCACAGAACCACAGAACCCAGCCCACGGTGCCGGCGAGGCCTCCAGCCAGGCCCAGAGCGTCGGAGGAGGGGACGGGATGCTGCAGCGGCGGCCAATAAGGCCACTTGGTTTCCTGGGAGGACGTGTAACATTAATGGAGCGCTCTGCAAACATCAGACTATAGTACAGGTGCCATAGCGTGACTGCTCAGTGGACGAATAGAGACCAAGTACAACAGCCACACCGCTAAAGGTGTTCTGGAGCTGCAGGTAAAGTAAAGCACTGGATCTCATTCATGGTTCTACTGCTGTGGATTCAACCAACTAAAGCTTAAACTGGTGCTCAAATTAAGTTTCCTTCAACTTTAAATTTTAAAAATGAAAATGAAGCCGTGCCATGAAATCCCATCTGTAAGCACATGAAGATAAAACCATCACGCAGAAGTCGACCAGTGATGTTAAACCGTACGTAGCTACAGAACTCATGAATCTCATTCATCGTTCTCCGTCTTAGTGACTTAAAATTACATTTAAACCTCTGAACTTTTCCGTTAGCATTCGTGCATCTGACGTTCCTCAAACGTTCCTGAAACGTTCCTGCTGCTCGTCTGCGACTCAGCCGCCGTTTTTCTTCAAGTAAGAACACAAAGTAAAGAAAAGGGGGGAGAAAAAAATGCAGTTTTAACGACTACATCCTACTTTCTGTTTCATATTTGTGTGAATACGCAACTTGGAAGAATCAGAAACATCAAGTTAGTTTGTTCTCTTTGAGGGGAATCACGTCATTTATCTGACTTGTTAAGTTAAACTGGATGAACTCAGTTCAGTCGTGTCACCAGTTGAGGCTCAACTCCTCCTTTGCACAGGACCCAGGAACCCACGTTTATCTGATCCAGCAGAAAAAAACTAACTTTAAGAGGTTGGGTTCATGATTTTTGGTTTCTAATCAGGTTCATCTTCACCGGGCCTCTGAGAGCAGAACCCAGATGAACTCCTCAGACCAGCTTTGAACCATCTCTCTGCACTTTGTCCACTTATCCGTCAACTAGGGTGCAGCCGGGCGGCTATCGGGCCGCGGCTAAAAAGATTGGCGGTTTCAGTGGCTGGGCTTCATTAGTCTAGACAAGCACAATTCAATTAGATTTCAATTAGTGCGACGGTGGAGGTCAGAGACGCGGTGGGTTCCCCAGTAATTAATCCGCCGAGCCGAGCTGAGCCCGAGCTAAACTGAGCCGAGGCAGGCGGAGCGAGGACGTCTCGATGGCCGCCGTGGGGGGTGGGGAGGGCGGGATGGACGGGGGAGTCTGCCAACAGATCCCCACTGACCTTGATTCACACACTGAGCTGGGGGAGGGGAGGAGGGTTCAGATAGCGATCTGGCAACACGCAGATAACACACATGCAGCCATAAGCGCATTGCAACAAAAAGAAAACACACAAACAAACAAACACACACACACACAGTGCAGGTTCACACGCTGAGCGGGAGGACACACAAAGCCGGAGAGGGAGGAGGCATCTGACAGCCGGGCGGAGGGACGGAGTGATGGACTCGTCTGACATCCTCACACAGGAATGGAAGCAGCAGCAGAGAGACGGATGATGGAGGAGAGCTGAGGCTGCTGGATGACAGATATTCATCCATTCATCCGTCTGACACCGAGGGGCAGGAGGAGGCTGAAGTCACCCCCTCACTCCCTCCTCAGTATCTACAGACTGCCTCATAGTCAGCTAACAGCCAGGACTCCCTCTGGTTCTACACATTCTGACAAATGCTGGAATTTCTGTTTAAATAAAATGTGTTTTAAAACCTGCCTGTGGTTTTGGGGTTCGGAGGGTTAAAGTCCTGCACAGAGGAATCACTGAAAGCAGAATTTTGTTTTTTGTGCTTTTCTACAGAATCTCTAGATTTTGTTTTTAGCGATTTTCAAAATAAAAGCATGGAGCATAAAGTCACTTTGAGGAAATATCACACCTTAAGCTCAGATCTAGTTCATCTCTCTAGAACTGCACGTCACACGTCTGAACATTAACATTTAGTCACTGGCTCTGATAACTGGAGGAGCTGTGGCCATTTTTCTAACACGTCGTTCAAATCTTCATACAGCTTCAGGGTTCAAATCCTGCGTTGCTACATGAGCTTTATTGTTCTGCAGTGTTTATGGAGGAGGAGGAATCGGCAAAAGCAGAATTTTTTGATTTTTACAGAATCTCGAGAGCAGATAGGCTGTTTTTAGCAAATTATAATGACGTGATTTTAATTAAATATCATGAATTTGTGGTTAGATTTTGTTAATTTTGCCAAAGAAAAAGAAAAAAGCTGTTCACTAACCTGAAAATTCTGTTTTTACTGTTTCTGACTCTGATACATGATAAAGACGGAGGCACCAGCAGGAGCAGGATTTGTAGTTTTTTTTTTTTAACAGAATATCCAGTTTTTAGTTTTTAAAAATGAAAACATGTAGAATAAAGTTATTTTCATGAAATCTCACGGTTTTAAATTTAAATTCGGATTAATTTTCTCGACAGACCTGCATGGCACATGAGCTGTTTGATCGCCATCTGAAAGTTTAAAATATTGTTTCTGGTTCTGATAAACTTTTGTTTTTAAGATAATTATGGTTTTAAAATGAGCCTGAGGTTTAAAATCCTGCTTTACACGTGTTGTTTACAAAAACTGAGGTTTTCTTTAGCCTCCTGTTTATGGTTTAACTTTTATTCCACTTGTTCTTCTCTTTACTAGGATGTGGTATTTTATTATTTCATCTGTTGTCATTGAACTGATTCCTTTTGAGAATCTTTTACTGTTTTTCTTTCTGGTCTTCTGTTCGACTGGCCGACCGTCTGCTCTTCACTTGTTCTTGCCCTCTCTGTTTAAAAGACGCTGTATAAATAAAATAAGTTATTATTATATAGTGCGTCGTGGCTGATTTCTGTGGTCAACACCACCTCGTCTCTCCGCCCCGTGCACCGTCCACAGGCCTCGTGGTGATTCTGCCTCCACCATCTGCTGCCGTGCACACATGAGCACACAGACAAAGTGCTGCTGGCGGGTTACATCAGCACCACTAAGTCATATAACAAAGCCCATAGTCACAGATCAGGATTATACAAGAGATCCGCCAGTCGCAGTCCTCTGATGAGACCAGAGATCTGAAAGCCTTTCATCCGGCGGACGAAAAGAAAAAAAAACTCCAAAAATGTCTTACTTTTGATTTTCCAGTTGCACCTTTTTGAATGAGCTTTATAGCCCCTGGGGCAATTCTTATAAGCAAAAAAAGAAAGAAAAAATACAAAAAACCTGAGTTATGAAGTCCTCAGGCTAAAGGAGAAAGATTCCTGCTCGTCTGAAATCTGTCTGTCAGGATAAAGAGAGTCGTGTGGAGAGCCGGCATCAAATTAGTTTAACAGTAATAACAGGAGACTTCCTCCAGGAAACCAGGAGCCCTTCACAGTAAAACCCAGTTATAATGTTTACTAAGGCGGAGCAGAACTTTTAGCTTTTACAGGATCTCTGGAGCAGATTTTCTGAAATAAAAACATGGAGCATGAAATCATTTGAAGCTTAAACTTGATTAATTTTCCAAACAGAACCACAAGGCAGACATGAGTAGTTCAATGATCATCTGAAAGTTAATTCTAGGATTTTCTCTGTTTTTATTGTTGGTTTGTGGTAAATGGAGGAATTTTGGCTTTTTTTTTTTTTTTTTTTTTTTTTTTAAATCTTTTTAAAACCAGTCTGTGGTTTTGGGGTTTGGAGGGTTAAAATCCTGCATCGTTCTGCGGGGTTTACTAAGACGAAGGAATCAGCAAGAGCAGAATTTTTTGATTTTTACAGAATCTGCAGAGTTTGTTTTTAGCAATTTTCAAAATAAGAGCATGTAGCATAATGTGTTTCTGACCATATATCATGATTTGAAGCTTGGATTTGGTTAATTTTGCCAACAAAACTTCACGTGATTTGTTTGCTGACCGTCTAGAAATTGAACATTCTTTGTTTTTACAGCTTCTGCTGATAAATGGTGGAATTTTTCTGTCTTTCAAACCTGCCCCCAGTTTTGGGTTTGGAGGGTTAAAATCCTGCATTGAGCTAA